TACTTTTATTAAGTATAACATAAGATTTTGTGGTATCCACTTGTGTAAATATTTTAAATTGAAGATCGAATTCATTCATTATATTCATATAGGGTCAAGGAGTGTAGTTATAAAAAATCATCAAAATCGGAGTTAAAATAACCGTTAAATCGTGATTTTTCGTTTATAACCGTTGAAAAGCTTTGTCCCGTTACTTGATCTTTGAATGTTTTTTTTTTGTGATTTTTTGCTGATGTGATCTCCAAGCATATACAAACAATTTTGACGGTTTGGATCGTTGAAATTAGTTTTGGAGAATTCGTAAAACGATAGATTGACTAACACTTAGAGTTTATTTATACTTTTATTAAGTATAACATAAGATTTTGTGGTATCCACTTGTGTAAATATTTTAAATTGAAGATCGAATTCATTCATTATATTCATATAGGGTCAAGGAGTGTAGTTATAAAAAATCATCAAAATCGGAGTTAAAATAACCGTTAAATCGTGATTTTTCGTTTATAACCGTTGAAAAGCTTTGTCCTGTTACTTGATCTTTGAATGTTTTTTTTTTGTGATTTTTTGCTGATGTGATCTCCAAGCATATACAAACAATTTTGACGGTTTGGATCGTTGAAATTAGTTTTGGAGAATTCGTAAAACGATAGATTGACTAACACTTAGAGTTTATTTATACTTTTATTAAGTATAACATAAGATTTGTGGTATCCACTTGTGTAAATATTTTAAATTGAAGATCGAATTCATTCATTGTATTCATATAGGGTCAAGGAGTGTAGTTATAAAAATCATCAAAATCGGAGTTAAAATAACCGTTAAATCTTGATTTTTCGTTTATAACCGTCGAAAAGCTTTGTCCCGTTACTTGATCTCTGAATGTTTTTTTTTTGTGATTTTTTGCTGATGTGATCTCCAAGCATATACAAACAATTTTGACGGTTTTGATCGTTGAAATTAGTTTTGGAGAATTCGTAAAATGATAGATTGACTAACACTTAGAGTTTATTTATACTTTTATTAAGTATAACATAAGATTTTGTGGTATCCACTTGTGTAAATATTTTAAATTGAAGATCGAATTCATTCATTGTATTCATATAGGGTCAAGGAGTGTAGTTATAAAAAATCATCAAAATCGGAGTTAAAATAACCGTTAAATCTTGATTTTTCGTTTATAACCGTTGAAAAGCTTTGTCCCGTTACTTGATCTTTGAATGTTTTTTTTTTGTGATTTTTTGCTGATGTGATCTCCAAGCATATACAAACAATTTTGACGGTTTGATCGTTGAAATTAGTTTTGGAGAATTCGTAAAACGATAGATTGACTAACACTTAGAGTTTATTTATACTTTTATTAAGTATAACATAAGATTTTGTGGTATCCACTTGTGTAAATATTTTAAATTGAAGATCGAATTCATTCATTGTATTCATATAGGGTCAAGAAGTGTAGTTATAAAAAATTATCAAAATCGGAGTTAAAATAACCGTTAAATCTTGATTTTTCGTTTATAACCGTTGAAAAGCTTTGTCCCGTTACTTGATCTCTGAATGTTTTTTTTTTGTGATTTTTTGCTGATATGATCTCCAAGCATATACAAACAATTTTGACGGTTTGGATCGTTGAAATTAGTTTTGGAGAATTCGTATGCCATCAATCAAGTTCCGTGTGTGTGTGTGTGTATATATATATATTTATTAAGTAGATTTAAATCTATTTATTTTGTACGTATAAATTATAATTGACTGGTACACGGAATAGTACATACATCACGTGTCACATGTTCATTATAAAATAGTGAGATATGTCATGACAGTCATGTGTGTGATAAAAAGTTAATAACTTAAAAAAAAAAAAAATTTCTCACCACTTCTATTAATTTTCATTTTTCCCTCTCTTTTTTGTTTCCTTTTCAACTTTTTCTTATCATTTTCACTTTTCCCTCCAACATCTATCCCTAATTCCCTCACTTTTTTGTTTTATTTTCAACTTTTCTTAACATTTTCATTTTCCCTCCATTTTTTTTTCCAAAAAGGACGGCAAGTTGGCAAATGCATGATCATGCATATTAAATTATTAATTCATATGCATTATAATTTTTATAAAATTTAATATATATATATATATAATATAATTAGTATAGATAGACTTAATATTTTGGGGGTATAATTATTATAGTATATATAATTATTATAATTATTATAAATTTTATAGTTAATTTAATATATATATATATATATATATATTTATTATAATTTTTAGGGGTATAAAATTGTAAAATTAATGTATATAATTATTACAATATTTTTTTAGGGGTTATAAAATTATAAAAATAATATTTTGCTTATCGTGTATCGTGTTTACCCACGTGTATACCCGACCCGACCCGTTATCTTAACAGGTGCTTATCGGGTTACCCGATAAGACCCGATTCGTTATCGTGTCGACCCAAACACCTGTTAATTTCGTGTCGTGTCGTGTCGGGTTATCGGGTCGTGTCAGAAATTGCCAGGCCTAGTTGCGGATGCGGCAATAAATGTTATGCTTAAGGAGTTGCCTGAAGGGGAGGAACGGGTGCATAGGGTGTGTGTATCGCAGGAAAATGGCAAGGAAATCTACTTGAATGTGGAGGTGCATTTACCTGATGGGAGTGTTGGGGATATGAAAAACATGGGGTTGAAAGACGAACTTGGTGGAGGACATGAAGTGTTGGATCATGATCATTTTGACTTGGCAACCATTATTGAGGCTATCATGAATAAGTCAAAAGGGAAAACGTTCTTTTCAGGAGGTGGAGTATGTGGAGCTTGTGATGTGTGTTGAACCAAAAACCAACTGACCATGAAAGATGTATTTATCTGAGGTGGAGGAGACCAGCCTTGAGGGGTCTCCCAAGTTCCTATAAAGCTAATCTACTAGAACTGTTAAGGTATCAGGGGTGACCTGACAGTTGACGATTTGATGGAGCAAAATAGGCTTTACACCCCTGACATAGTGATTTTATTGGAGACAAAAAATTGAAGTAATCGCTATGTTTATTTGAAAAGAAGGCTTAGGATGGAGTTCATGCATGCTGTTGAGCCAAAAGGAATTGTCGGTGGTATGTGTATTTTTTGGAAGAACTGTGATCAAGTGTTACTTGTTAAGTATGCAGATTTCTTTATTGAGGTGGGCATTTATGATGGAATAAAAAAAGAGAAGTGGAGGTTGTTCGCGGTTTATGCAAGTACTGATGACATGAAGAGGAGAGATCAATGGAGGTTGTTGTCTCAACAGCTTGAGGTAGATAAGGATAAATGCTTGGTCATTGGTGACTTTAATGACATTCTGGATGATTCGGAGAAGGAAGGGGGGAATTATAGGTCTGTGGCTAGTAGAAGGGATTTCAGTGGGTTTATTGTTGATAATAGGCTGCTTGACTTGGGATTTGTTTTCACTTGGAGGAATCAAAGGGATGAGGGGCCTATACAATAACGTCTGGACTGTGGTTTAGCAACAAGTGGATGGGTTAGTGTGTACTCGGAGGCAAAAGTTCTACATGAAGTGTTAAAAGGGTCCGATCATGCTATGCTTATTTTGGATATGGACGTTATGTCATTAAAACGATGGAGATGGTTCATTTATGACCCGCGATGGAATAAGGAGAAGGAATGTCACAACACTGTGGAGGAAAATTGGAGGCATGGTTTTGTGGGCTCCCGTGCTTTTCAAGTGGTGGAAAAGTTAAAATGGGTACATAAGGGTTTGCAAAATTAGCGGCGAACTAAAGGTGGTAATTTGAAGGTACATATTCAATCCTTGAAGAATGACCTTTGAAATGTTTATAAGTCTTCAACTTTTGTGAATGATGAGGTGCGAGGAATGGAAAGGTAGTTAAAGGCTCGGGTTAAAGAGGAAGAAATGTATTGGAAGCTCAAATCTCGGACTCAATGGATCTAGGTGGGGGATAAGAATACTAAATTTTTTCATGCTCAAACGGCGAAACGTCGCTGATGTAATAAAATCATGGGATTGGAGGATGAGCAGGGTATCTGTTGTACCGACCCTAGTAGGGTGGATTTGATTAAAGTGAATTATTTTAGGGACCTCTTCCTCACATGTACACCGAGTTGGGGTTGAAGTAGTTGTTCCTCAGTTGGCTGACATACCATGGCTGCAGCCATGGTTGCCATATATTGTGTGTTGCGCCATGCTTCATCTTCTTCATCAAACTCCTCGTCTTCTCATCTCATTTGCGCCCATTTTTCTTCCAATTCGGAATTGGATGAGGACCCCCAGTTGGAATCCGAAGAGGATCCAAAGTTGGAATTCATGGCAAACTTGAATTGAAAGAGATTGAATTCAAAGGTATAGCCCAATATCCACCCTATTTATAGGCCAAAAAAATTCAAATCCAACGGCTAGCTGACTTCAATTACCGTTGGATTTGAAAATTTTTTTTGGGCCAAAATTTGAAAAAAAAAAAAAAAAAATTATCATTTTGTCCTATAAATTTAAGTTGTAGTTTTTAAATTTAAGTTGTTGTAGTTTTGAAAATTTAAATAATAAATTATGTTTGACCTTATGGTCCTCGGTTGGAAATGGTAAGAAATATGGTAATGCACTGTTCATTAAAATATTAATTTCTTGGAAGGCTAGAGGGCTAAAATGAGCCCTTTGGCCCTCCTTTGCTAGGAGATGACCTTAGTTCTTGAAGCTAGTTTAATCTGAGATAGTCCAGCACAACAAACGCACCCAAACTCCAAGGAGAAAACTATTTCAATACTTTGACTATACTAGGTATGGTATTTTAGGTACATAATCCGAATCAGGTAATGTGTATATTAATAACAATTAATAATTAATGTATCAAATTAAATGGAACAAGATCAAAATTCAATCCGACTCTGGGGTTTAATAAATAAATCATATTCATAGGGTTTAGCTCCTGGGCGACCCAACCAACTTTCTCTTGGTGCCCAATTCTGTTAATTGCTTAATCAACAAGATGGCTAAATCAGATCAGAGTGATTAAAATCCAAAATTAAAGTAATGCATTGTTCGTTTAATTTACAATGAATATTATATATAGTGGGGAATGAAATGAAAGATTTGCGGAAAGGAGAACTAGTCTAATTCCAGACAGGAATGATTCCTTGAGCGGCTAAACGCTTTTCAACCCAAAAGACAATATGTTTTGCCGTTATTTTCTTCTCATCAATGAGAAATGGCTCAACAGTGCTCACTCCTGAGCCATACGAAGACAGAGAAAACCCCTTTGGACCTGCACGTGTACCATAGTCTGTTAATGTCACTTTTCTGTAAATTCATTCATTAAATTGTGCACAAACATCAATCAATGAATTGAAGACTTGACAAGGCAAGATGCAAGAGGTACCTGTGAGGACTCCACTGGGGAAGAAGGCCCAAAACGAATAGAAATTGCCCTTCTTTATAAAGGAACCTTCCAGCTGTATATATATATATATATGTATTCATTTTTCAATCAAACCAGAGTACGTAGTATCAATTATTATAATATGAAAATGCTAGGAACGAACAAACGAAAGTTCAAATACAATTAGTATATATAGGTAGCTGACCCTGTTGTCTTGAAAACATAGCTCAATATCAGAGAGTTCATCTTGAGTTTCGAGTATTGCTTTCAACGGCGGGATAACGTCCTCCACCATCATTTGAGGCAACGCCTTCATTGGGGCTTTTGCAGCAACTTTAGGCTTTGCTGGAGCTGCTGCTTTTTGATCAGCTGTTTTAACCTCCTTTGTACTTGTATCAGCAGCATCAGCTAGTACGTAAAAGGGGCAAAAAGAGTTCACTTTTTACCAATGCTGCCCTACTATAATATGTGTCAGATATAATCACAAGGCAATGAATCCCTGCCATACATTGTGAAAATAGAGCAACTCACCAGTGGAAGTAGATGATTCTTGCAAAGCAAAGCACGCAATATTTCTTTGAGATGCTACCACTTTACTTTTCATCATTTGCTGCTAAAGCAGATGAAACATAACATCCATGAGAAAAAACGATGCAAGATATTTGAAATTGTGTTATGTTTTTGCCTCCTTTTTGTTAGGTTTATTTGGTCTCAAAGCTAAGCCTATAAGCGATGGGAAATGATTTCTACACACTACTTTTCAGATAAAAATCAATCTTATGATTCCTATATATATAACCTCTCACACATACAACTTCGGCAAGTTTTTGTAAATACATAAGTTTGTTTAATGGTAAGAGACGACCAGGAATAGCGGTTCTCACATCATTTGAGGTCTTTCTGCCAAAAGGCAGGCTGGCTGATGGCTTCGGGAGAGCTGAGAATTCTGCAAAATGTTTTCCATTTGGCTGTCGACATTGAAATATTTCTCATCAAGCAATGCTCATGCATGTATCATCCAGTAATACATAACACATTGATTCTAGTTAATTAGCAAACGCTAGCAAGCATATATATATATATTTATATGGCATACAATTGAACAACAAAACCATGAACCTGAACCTGTAGAGGAGATGGTTTGGCCAGAGAAAGAATAGCCGAAGCCATGCTTGCTTGGTGGTTAATTTGGAGCTTCATTCCCAAAAGCAAGCCACTGAAATAAAACCATCTTCTCTTGGACTAGGAATAGTAGGACGACAGATAATGATGGCCTATCATTTAACGAATGGCTGAGATTGAAGCTCTTCCATTTACCCTCATCTCGCTCTCTAACGAATCTCGACTTCCAAATTCGCTGCTTATTTTGGACGTTCGGCCTTTTGGGCCTTACCCTCATTTTCTTAGTGGCCCGATATACATTTTGCTTTTATATTATTCAAGGCCGCTAATTTAAAAATGGTCTCAAAATAAATTACAATTTATAATTTTATATACAAATGCATTGAGTTTTTCTTAAGATAAAACTCCACATCCTTCCCCAAGACCATCTCTAATCTTTGGTTAAAACCTAAAATTTTTAACTCAAAAAATTTAGGTTTTAACCCAGAAACATATTTTCTCCTCCAATCGTTATGTGTTAAATTTTTAGCCTGAGATTATTAAAAAATAAATTTTGGATAATTTTTTTCTTAAAGTAACTTAAAAAAAAATTATGTAGACTATCATAATTTAATTTTATGAACATTTTTACCTAAATATTTAGATTCTGATAAATATTGAAAAATCATTAAAATGACACCATAAAACTTGCGGAGGCTATGAAAGAATATGAAACATATAAAAGATTTTTTTTAATTACTTTAGCCGTTTTACCATTAGATTTGATTATAATAAATATTATTCAATGAATTTATAAATACAAAACTAAAGAGTGTGGGTCTCGAAAATGATGCTGCAAGAGATGAGGGTTCAAATTGTTATTCAGTACTGTCATCATTCGTTACGACTTGTACCTTGAAATATTGTATTTTATTTCCAAGACATGTGAAATAACTATTTTACCCCTAAGTGAGTGTCTTAAATAATTTATTGAGCCTCGACTCGAAAGTCAATCCTTGTACTTTCTTCAGTTTTTTAACTTTAATTTTCGTACGTTAGTTTTACGTCGAAAATGAATTACGAATCAAGACCTCGAGGGTCTAATTGTAATTAAAAATAATTGGAGGGTAATTTTGTAATTTTATTTAAATGGGTTTAAGTGGGATTACATAACTCTCGGCCTCGCTCTTTCCCTCAGCTGAAAACACACACTCTCTCTCTCTCTCTCTCTCTCTCTCTCTCTCTCTCTCTCTAAGCTCCGAAAGCCTAACCCTAGCTCTCACCCCAGTTCCCTCACAAATGAAACCTCAAAATCTCATATTCGACATCCTTGAGACTCAAGGAACACAAATATGGTCTTGCATGTGAGATCGATGCAGTGTGGACCTCGGCACCATTGAAGCCGAGAGCTTCAAGCTCTGAAACTCGAACCCATGAGAGTTTCTTTATGCAAATCTTGTTTCATTGTGTTTTATTATTGTTTGGGACGGGATTTTTGGTGATTTCCAATTCGAAACAAGAGATTTCACCCCTGCATTTGCTCTGTGCATTTTTTTCAGTTTCCGGTCATTTCCACCGTGCAAACTCCGGCGAGTTTGTGAGCTTTGGAGTTCATACTCTACTCGAATGAACCCTAGGTACTTAAATACCTCTCTGCATGTAAAAATTGATGGAAAATCACTATAGGACTGACATGCATGCTCTCGGTATCCATTTCCAGAATCCGGCGAACCTCGCTAAGCTCCACTCGTCGAATCCAAGGTGGATTCGACCTTTCCTCCTTCAAATTTGAGTTTGGGTAAGTCTCTAAACCCTTTTTGGGACTTAAATTGGTGATTTTCACTAGGAAATACGTTGAAATCGAGCTCAGGGAGCCTTAACCGTGTTCTGGAATTTTTTCTACAGTTTCCGGTGAGACTCCGATGACGGCAGACAGCAGCCAGTGACGGTCATCGTTAATTCTAACGGCAGAACCTGAGATTCCGTTAACTCTAACGGAATTTTCCAACGGCAAAGGTATATTCTATTAACCTTTATTAAACCTTCACCGAACCAACGTGTGGCTCAAGCGACGGCGAGTGTGGCGTTTACTCGCCGAACCGTGGCCGCGAGTACGACAACGTGTTTGCCGGCAACGGCGTGTTCACCGGCAACGGCGGCCCACGGCAGCGTGTTTCTCGGCGTGTGGTCGAAGCATGGCAGTGCGTGACGAACCGGAGCCCTAACCCTAGGTTTTTCGGTGTTCTAAATCAAGTGGTACCCTCCATTTGTGCAAATTCAATACCTAAATGGTAGTTTTGGGCAATATCCTATGAATTGATGATTAAAGCCTGACTTAGTTTATATTGACTATCACAGGGTTATTAAAGGATAGAAAGGATATAGGCAAGGAGCCTAGTTGCGAAGGACGCTCTGCTTACCTGTGAGTGCACCCCTTCGAAAACTAACTAACTAACTAGCTATATATGTATATGCGGATGCATATTAATATGTTGGTCTCTGATGTGACTGAGGATGATATTTGACTATATCTTTGGATCATTGGTGATTTATTTTCACCTCATGATCTTCTATATATGTTGTATAGCTATCTTCGGCCGTAGATTATTTGCAAGTGATATTTTATCCTAGTAGACGCTATGATTATTGATTATTACTGGTATTGAGTTTAGTTAGTTGACACTAGCATATTTTGCTTGCTATACTTATGCTAGTGGATGCTAGTATGATTGATTGAGTTAAGGTAAGATTCTGAACTTGAATTGAATGTTTTCGATTATTGAGATTCTTACTATTATGGTAGTATACACTATTATATAGTTTTCACTATAAATGTTTTCAAAACAGGGATTATGTTGAATGATGATTTTATAACTATGATAAAATTGGAACACTTACGTTTTGTTTTATCAACCCCTTCAGGATGCAACAAGAGTAAGGAGAACACTTAGTGACAAGTGGGCTTGGCAGTGAAGTTTTCATCCTCTGGATTTTGTGTGATAGTTCATTTACTGCAGTTTTATCTGTGTTGTAATAATGGCATGATGGTACTTTGGATTATGCATAGCACTGCATTTTTATGTATTTAATGTTGTGTGAAACTTCAGGCTACTTTGATGTGATGTGATAATAATAGGGTAAAATCCAAGATAATTTGTGTCTCTAAGTGGGGAAGATGATAAGTGATTACTTGTAGTAGCTTTGAATTTATTATTAATGAACGTTTTCAGTTCAAATTCTTATACATCATAAATATCTTGCTATGCTTTGAATGCATTTTGCAGTACAAAGGTCATTTATGGAATCGTAGTTTTTACTAGTTGTTCCAGTACAGACCTTTTTGTTTTAATATAAAAATGCATTTTGCACTCTGGGTTGTCATCCTAATGCAGGTATGGTTCAAAAATTTAAGCGGGAACAGTTGCCATATGGTACACTATGGTTCAAAAATTTAAGTGAGAACAATTGCTGTGCTTTGAAAAAAAACTGTTTCTGCTGTGCTGTGAGAATAAACTCATTTTTGGTGCTTCACGTTTTCAGTTTTTTTTCACCCAAAACTGTGAAAATAAGCTGTTTTTAAGTGTTTACCAAACACCTTTTTGAACTCAACTTTTTTTTTTATACCCACTTTTTATAAAAGTACCTCAGTACCAAACCAGTACAAAGTGATCCTGGAGCAGGCATGCTGTTATCTTTTGAAGGATGCTTAGTTAATTGTATTGACATTCTCAGGGCTGCACTGCTTATTCATTTGAGAGCGGGCACTCTCACGTCATTGATTTACAAGAGAACCTCTTTAAAACACAAGTGTATCATTTTGTCTCGACCGTTGGGTTAAAACTTTTGACAGTCAATTTTTTTTTAATTTAAATTTAGAGGACATTCATATCAGAAACAAGTAACTGGAGTACACGATAATATTACAAAAATGGTTTTTATCTGCTTACTTTGTACATAAGAATTTGTAACAATAGCCCGCCACAGAAATCCAAACTACCATTTAGTTCAGATCTAAAACAAGAACTGGAGTACCAGGTAATCTTAGGTTCGTACATAGTAAGGGAATAAGCACAATGCATTGTGGTAACTTATTTCAGAAAGTCCTTCTTTGGTCATTTCTAGCATAGATGCGACATAGATGAGTACCTGCCATTGAGAAAGGATGTTCAACATTAAAAGTAAATGAAATACACTACCCGTTTGTATACATCCTAACCATATGGTACAAGTATCAAAACACACACCCACGGGTCCAAGAGATTCATGTAAAAAGATTTAATCCCAAGGGTTTAGGGTTTGAATGATGGCCGTAGAAACTACAATGACAACTATAACGAACATATTTAAAACAGATAATGTGCAAGATTCGAGTTGTAAAACACACATGTTGTGAATACTTGCCGGGTGATTTAGTGCTGCTTTTGTAAGCGTTGAAGTGTCTCTTGCACTAGCCGTCAGAGCTGAAGAAATTTCTTGCAACTGAAGCTCTTCAAGGAGGGAAGCATCTCCTTCAATCAGATGCAAAGAACCTATATCAGATTTTGGTAATGCATCAGGTGCATCTATCTCCAGTAATATCTTTTCAGAAGGCACCTAGAAAAGAACAATTTAAAAAGAAATTGCATCTAATGCTGTCTAACGTTTACAGACACACACAAACACACAGACGCCCCAATCTAAATATGGAACTACCATCTTCAGCATCCACTTTGCCTTGTTTACTTTCGTGGACATGAGAAATCCAGAGAATGAAAAGTAAGCACCAAGATGGCAAATTCAGGAACCATCTCAGCAGAACCTAGGTAAGAATGAAGAATCACGCCAGCAGGAAAAGGCCCTGAAGGTCTGACAAGAAAACATTAAATAAACCAATATACATGAGGCATTCATAGATGCTTTACTTTGGATGAACCCCATAAATTACAAGCTACGATTGACATAATAGAGAGAACAGCAGCATCTGTATACTTCATTATCTGAAGAAGGTCACCAAAAGCACGGACACAATGGATGGATGCTGGCTTTTTTAACTCTTTCGCAAGTTCAAGTTGTTGCCTGAATACATTAACCTGCAGCGGAAACCTTACACAGTTACACATCAACAATTTTAAGGAATTACTTGATCATTCTTTGAGAAAGAAAATTATCCTATTAAGGAGGAAAAAAATAATTCTAATCAGCCATTAAGATACCAGTGGCCTGAAAGGGGGTCGATTATGAGAAGGTTAATAGTCGCTTGTAGGGCAAGCGCCACCCTCCCGCTCTCATGAATAGGTTATGAAAAGGCTACAGGGATGCTTCCAGGCTAAGTATCGAGTCGCTACTGCAAAAAGGATTATATGTCATAACAAGATTGTAGAGAAGTCAACGATATCATTCTTGATATCTTGGCTTAGTTTAGGAAATAAATTTGTAATTGATTTGTATAGATTTATTTTCCTGTTGTATACCTAGAATGTAGGATAGTTTACTTCTCTATCGAGAGTTCTTCTTTGTATAAATGTCTTGGTATCAATAGAAGAAAATCACTTCTGCAAAATATACTTTTACTCTATTTTACATGGTATCAAGAGCTAGGTCAAAATCCTAGTTCTTACCGCTGCCCCTTTTTTGCTATTTTTCAATAGCTTTTTCCGTTGACAGTCATGGCCACTAACAACCTTTCCATAGGAGCCACGGCTGATGCTAAGGCTGATGTTTCAAATCATTGTTTATCCATCATTTAGATCACCCATCTATGATGTTGGTTTCGAAGCCCGTTAATGGGGACAATTACTTTACTTGGTCACGTGCGATGAGGATCTCCCTGAGTGCCAAAAACAAGCACGGCTTTGTTGATGGTACTGTCACACAGCCTTCTGAGAAGATCAAACCGGATGACCATGCTACATGGCAGAGATGTAATGACATGATCGTTGCGTGGATTATCAACTCCATTGATTCAGAAATTTCTGATAGTATCCTCTATATGACTGATGCTTATGCAATTTGGGAGGAATTGTGAGAGTGTTATTCACAAAGCAATGCTCTTCGGATTTTCCAATTACAACGGAACATCGCTTCTCTTACTCAAGACCAACTTTCAGTTGCTGCATACTACACGAAGTTGAAGAAATTGTGGGATGAACTGGCGTCTTACAGTGACTCCACTTCCTGTACGTGTGGAGCGTAGAATGAAAGGAACAAGTTGATGCAGTTTTTTATGGGCCTCAATGAGTTATATGGTGCCATTCGAGGACAAGTCTTACTGATGAATCCTTTACCCACTGTTCGTCAAGCCTATGCTTCAATTTCCTAGGAAGAGAAGCAAAGATCTTTTACTGCTTCACGTGGAGTCACTGAGACAGTAGCTATGGCTGTTTGACAAGGTGGTTTGCGATCATCTGAGTCCTTCAGTCGTAAGCCCCCAAACTGTACTCATTGTGATCATGACTATCACACAATTGATACTTATTACCAACTTCACGAATATCCACCAGGGCATCGTCTTCACAAAGTCAAGCCTAAAAAAGGAAGCAAGCCTTCTAAAAAGGAAGGCAGTTCTTCTTCTTCAGCAAATCAAGTTTCCGAAGGTGCCACTTTGGAGGAGATGAAGTCGGTGATGTCCGGGTTATCTGACACCCAATTCCAGCAAATCCTTCACATAATGAATAATAAAGGAGGCGATGCATTCGTTCCTCCAAAAGCTAATGTCGCTGCCATGAAGACAGGTTTGTTGACATCCCTTTTGCCCTTACATTGTTGGATAATCGACAGTGGTGTGACGGATCATATAACCTCCTCATCATATTTACTCATTGATGGTGTCAAAAACACCTATTTGTCACCAATTTTATTACCAAGTGGAGAGCAAGCTCGCATAGTCTCCACTGGGAATGTCCCTTTGAGTTCTATGTTTTTGTTGCAAGATGTGTTGTGTGTGCCCACTTTCAAAGTAGTTTGATGTCTATGAGTCAAATTACATGTGGATATTGTTTCGTAACTTTTTTTCCTTCGTGGTGTATTATGCAGGACTTGACAACGAAGATGGTGATTGGTTTGGGTAAGCAACGTGGAGGGCTTTATTATTTGGTGGCATTGACTCCCACAACATCTGGTAGTCCACACCAAGTCTGCAACCTTGTTCTTTCCTCTATAGAGTACTTGCATCGGCATCTGGGTCACTTATCCTCTAGACTAGATTTCATGTTGAAACACCTGTTGCATTTTCCTTTTAAGTCAAATAATGCTTGTGATGTTTGTCCTTTAGCCAAGCAAAGTTGTTTACCTTGTTTGTCCTTTAGCCAAGCAAAGTCGTTTACCTTTTGGTGTCAGTTCCATTACAACTACAAAACCGTTTGATTTGATCCATTGCGATATTTTGGGTCCTTATAAAATTGCTTCTACTTCTGGAGCAAAATATTTCTTAACTATATTGGATGATTATTCTCGTTTCACATGGATTTTTCCCATGCAACATAAATCAGAAACACAACATATCCTCAAAGATTTTTTCTCTTTTGTTCACACTTAGGTTAATACATCCATTTGCCAAATAAGAGGAGACAATGGTGGAGAATTTTTTTCACTTCGTAGTTTCTTTCAAGACCATGGAGTAATTTATCAACACTTTTGTGTCTATACGCCTCAACAAAATGGGGTAGTTGAGCACAAGCATCGTCATATATTTGAAATTGCTCGTGCCTTGCGTTTCCAAGCTAATCTTCCCTTCATTTTTTAGGTGAATGTGTGCTAACGGATGTCCATCTCATTAATCATCTCCCTACCCTACTCCTTTCCCATCAAACGCCTTTTGAACGACTTTACTCTAAACCACCTTATTTTTCCCATCTTAAAGTCTTTGGTTGTCTTGCTTATGCAATCGACACCTATATAATTTGCACGCCCCCCCCCCCCCAAGCTCACAGATGTGTCTTCCTAGGGTACCCTATTGGTCAAAACAATCTTACCACTCACAAATTTTTTTACTAGCCAAGATGTTGTTTTTCATGAACATATTTTCCCTTACCATTATTCTCCATCTTCTACCTTACCCATCACTGCACCAACACCTGCATCATCCCCGGCCATCCTCCTTTCCTTACTTGCACCTCTATCACTATTACTTCCAGACCCCACTTTACCGTGCCCTTCTTCACCTCCACCTCATTCTCCACCAACTAAATCTCGTGATTCTCCTTCTGCCATCCTTCAGCCCATGTCTTTTCCAGATTCTCATGTCCCTGCTGAGCCTTCTCCACTTCCTATTGCATTGCATTTAGAGTCCCTTTCTGCACTGTTTGTGCCTCTTGCCTCTCCTACACTGGTGCTTCGTCGCTCTAGGCGTCACTCATCTTCGCCTCTAAAGTTACGGGACTACGATTGCCTTACTCTTAAGCTTACCCAACCAGCTTCTCCGTTATCTTCGTCGTCTAGTCACACCACACGTACACGTTATCCCCACTTGCTAATTATCTTACTTATCATCATTTCTTACTCGCATAACAATCTTTTCTTGCAACTATTACTCAATAGGTTGAACCCCAGACTTATTTCGAAGTTGATACTTTTCCTCATTGGCAGGCTGCCATGGCTTCCGAATTACAGGCTTTGGAAGCTAACAATACCTAGACTCTCACCCCTCTTCCCGTTGGCAAATCTCTCATTTGTTGTCGTTGGGTCTACAAAATCAAACATTGTTCAGATGGCTCTATTGAACGTTATAAAGCTCGTTTGGTTGCCAAGGGTTATACACAACTTGAAGGTATTGACTGTCATGATACTTTCTCTCCCACTGCCAAAATGATCATTGTTCGTTGCCTCTTAGCTCTTGCTGCATCTCGTCACTAGTCCCTCCATCAACTTGACGTCAATAATGCGTTTCTTCATGGTGATCTTCATGAAGAAATATATATGCTTCCTCCTCTGGGTCTCCAGCGATAGAGGGAGAATTTAGTTTGTCACCTTAACAAATCTCTACATGGATTGAAGCAAACATCTTGTCAATGGTTTGCAAAGTTTTCTGAAGCTATTCAATCTGCTGGTTATGTCCAATCAAGGGCTGATTATTCTTTGTTCACACGGCAGCAAGGAAAATCTTTTATAGCCATCTTAATTTATGTTGATGATATTTTGATCACTGGCAATGACCCTAATGCAATTGAGGCTCTCAAAACATTCCTTAATAGTCGTTTCATGATCAAGGACCTTGGTGACTTGAAATACTTTTTGGGCATTGAAGTGTCATGTTGAAGAATGGGGTTTTCATTTCCCAACATAAGTTTGGTTTAGACATTTTGAAGGATGGTGGTCTCTTGGGAGCTCGCCCGGCTCAGTTTCCCATGGAACAAAACCTTAAGCTTTCAAACAATGGTGAGTTGCTTAAAGATCTGGCACAGTATAGGAGGTTGGTGGGCTGATTGATCTATTTAACGATTACTATGACACACCTCGACCCAGAAAGTCCACTTGGACCCTGAATCGAGCTGTGCTGGCCGACACCTGAAAGGTGACGAAGCCATAAAATGTGATAGTGTATAAAAAGTGAATGAATTTGAATCTAAAAGTGTCTAAATACTAGAGTGCGCTACGAGTGGGAGCGAACCCATTTCACGCGCGATGTTAGAGCATAAGTAAGGTACAGTAATGTGGGTAAGAATCATACCCTCAAAAATATCCATCAATACTAAGATTCGCCACAGATTCTTGTTGATACAAACTCAGCAGCTAAAACATGGAGGGCACCAAACAGAAGGTGTGAGTAAGCAATAAAACCAAGCTTCCCAAAGTTATTACCTCTCTAAAAGTAATGCCCCTAAATGTAAAACCCGTATCGTTTTCCCTAAGACAGTACAACATATATACATATATCCAAACCATACTCGGAAATGACCAAAACCACGGTTTGCCATCAATCCACCATACATTAATAAGTAGGCCAAATGAACTAAATCAATACAAAGTGATATATCAGTCAGAGTCATCTAAAATAACATGTACAACTTATCCGTATCTCATCAATCATGACTAGCATATAAGTCGGAGTCACCTATAGTGACTTGTACGACTTATCCATATCTCGTCAATCCTGGCTAGCATATAAGTCGGAGTCACATATAAG